CCTGACCATCATGTACTTCATATCTTCGATAGAACTATTTTTAGTTCGTCTGCAAAAAATGTATTAGCAAACTTCGAACAATTACCTCCTGGACTTTAGATCTCCTCTTGCTATATAGTCTTAAAGTTACGTTGCATGATATCTTGAGAAACAACGCAATCTAATGGAATGGAAAGGAATAAACGCATATGAAAATGGCTAATTTTCTATTAAGCGCTGTTGCTGAAAGAGTGCAAATGTTTATTATGGCCTTTAGATATTCAAAAATATATTATTTTTCTAATCAAAACATACATGGATTTTTTTCTTCTTTATTAGCAATTATTTATTTTCATCGCTCAACAAGTCTTGATCTCACATGCTAAGTCTAGCCAATTAACTAAAATTTATACATGCAATTAGAATGCTCAGCTGGTTAAATTATAGTTTTTATTAGGATCTAGCTTCATTCGACTTCTCCTTATTGAAGTGTCTATTTTTTATAGATCTGTTTGTGTCTTATTTTACAGAGCGTTACCCATTTTTTATATTTTTAATATATCTTACTTCATATTACAGTTCTATATTATTCATTCTATCTTTATTAGACTGGCTTGCTCCTCCTTTTAGGCCTGAGGACGAATGTTTCCTTGAAGGTGATGAATGGAGGAGCGTTCGCTCTACCCACCGAGTCTCGGGCAATTCTGGCCTTAGTGATGCTGAGGATACGGGCCCAAGCCTTGTAAAGTCTGGGGTTGGCTTTTATGTCCATCGGCGTCGTTTACCTAGTGGCAGTGGGGGCGGGTTCTCGTCAAATGCTCTTCCAGTATCTTCGACTAGCTCGCCTGCCCTTGATTTGGCTACTAACGGCGGTTGCGCTGTTACCTCTGCCAATGGAACTGCTCAGGCACTAGGAAGCAACTCAGCATCTGGCGGTCTTATTCTTCGTCCATTCGGAGGTCGTGGTGGTGCCAAGCACGACTGGACTAAGGGAGCCGGTGGCTTTAAATGGCGACAGCGAAATAGCAGTGGTGGGGATCACTCAGGATACTCGCGAGGAGTAATTTTCTTTCAACTTAAAAATTGTCGGACTCTGATATTATAAAATATTCAGTTATTAACCAAAGTTCACTCAAGGCTATAATTTGTGCTGAATCCACAGTTAAAATGTATGAAAAACAAAAAGGAATATGTATTGACACATTTCAGTGCTCGGGAGCAAAGATATTATGCCAGATGATTTGAAGCTATCCTTTTTCACTAGAGATCTATAAGAGGCACTAGTCTTCTTGCTATGTTCTTTCACACTACCTAATAAGTATGTTTCGACCGAAAATTAATACTCATTGTGGCATGTGATTTATTTAGGAAAAGTTTTTTTTGAGAGTTCCCTTTTAAGTAATTACCTTCACATCAAAGAACGGTAAGTGTCCGTTCTCTTTCACATCCATGGTAAATTTGTCTTTTTCATCTAACTTTTCTTGCGAAGTAGCCATCCAAATATCCCATAATTATTGTTACCTGCTGGTGTGACATTTTGAACTTCTACTCCAATTTGTCCATTAAGACGGCCAACAGGTAAGAGTGGTGAGTCCTTAGGCAGACCAAATATTTGCTCATAGATGCGGCCGTTGAATGTGAAATATGTAGTTCTTATTGTTGGGTTGACTAATCGAGTTACAGATTCTCTACGCATTTGCTCGGTCTCCGGGATGCCATTTTCTTTTTCTAAGATCTCCAGTTATGCGGTGAGTGCATTTTCTC